ACGTCTTCCTCCTCGTGCACGAAGAGTTGAAGACCACCACCACCTCTCGCTGGCTGTCCAAGCCCAAGCCCGGCTACGTGGGCTGGGCTATGGCGCTGCCCACAGCAGCGCCCTTCCTCACACGTTACCGCATGCGCGCACGCTTCTGCACTGCCGCTCGCTCCAGCAGCGCTGCCGCCTGCTCTATGAAGTGCTCGAATATCCAACCCGGAGCCCGGCTCTTTCCTATATGGAAAGTGGCGGGCGAATTGCCACCCTCTTGCCTCGTCGGGCCACGTTTCCAGCAGCTTCAGTCTCGGCCAAAGTGTCTGTGCCCAGGCCCGCTCAGACAGTGGCCTGGGACCGAATTGGTCAGGCATGCCCAACCGCCCAGGCACAAACGTGCAGTGCTCCCTGTTTCGAACACGTTGCTGGAAGAGCCTGGAAGGCTCACGCATATTTTCGATTCTCACAAGCAAAGCGGATGTAGCCAACTGGGGCATGGCAACTGTCTGGCGCCCACCAAGATTTGCAAAATTCGACGAGTTCAGGGCACATTGAGATTCAGGGGGCCCGCCTTCACTTAGGGCGGGCACGTGCCTGCTCCAGGGCCCTATCCCGAGGGGTAAACCCTCACACTCCCTCCTCCTTTACTTCGATAGTCCTCTGAGAAGTCGTTACACAGCAGGCTGCTTCCCTTTCAAATTTCGCTCATAACTTGAGATAATTTAGGGAGCAGTCTTCATTAACTCTTCTCTTGTGAGCCACCGATCATCTTTTGGATCAGTATGGTGTCTGAACCACACCCAATACTGCATCTGCGGTTTAGGAGGGCATCCCCTGCCTGGAGGCTTGGGCACAGGCATCAGCTTGTGCTCAATAATGTCATCATTGTCGACGTGTCCGTCCATGGTTTGGGGCAGCATTGATCGCCTGGAGGGAAACTGTTCTGTTTCTGCGAAAGGTGGTAACTTGGATGCATGAAAAGCAGGGTGTGCGCAGAGGTGACCAGAAATGTGAATGACATATGAAGGATTATCTGGTTGATCTCCCAATATATCAAGAACTTCCCAGGGTCCAAAGTACTGTGGCATCAGTTTACGTGAGATTCCTAACTCCTGTCCCAACTCAGATGACTTTACCCAGACTTGCTCACCTACCTGAAATGCAGACGGTCGTCTGTGTCTGTTCTCAGATGTAACCATGGCATCTTGGGCTCTCTTGATGTGCTCGACAGCCTGCTGCAGCATCTGTTCGTGTTTCACAACAAACTCTATGCTGCCGGGTGCTGCAGTTGGGGTTCTCAAGGAACAGCAAGCCGTCAACCAGCACAAACTCATCGGAATTGGCCTTGTCTTTAGCTTCTAGTTTGTGGATGATCTCAGACATGACCATGTCCTCTTGATAGGCTTCCACCATAGATCGAGTTACATCATAAAAAATCCCAAACTCAGTCACTAGTGCGCCCAGATACTCTGCCCTGTGCGATAATGCATCAGCCACTTTTTTGTACTCTCCCTGCAGAGGGTCGATCTTGAAGTCATACATATCTATGACTTCAATCCACCTCCTGAGTGCGTCACAGATCACGGGCTGTCTTAATCCAGTGCAACATCTCATGGTCAGATCTCACATAAAAGAATCTGCCTAGGAGGTAGTGCCTCCAATGGACCAGCGCTCCGTAGAGGGCATAGAGCTCGCGCTCATACGTGGACTTACCTAATTTATGAGATGGCATCTTTTTGCTCGTGTACTCGATCGGCCTCAACTCGGCGCCTATGCCGTATTGACTGGTGTCTGTGGTCACAACAAAGGAATGTTCAGGATCCGGAAGTTTGAGGACTTATTAATGCGTCAGGGCATACTTCAATCTCTTGACGGCTACCTCATACTCTTCGGTCCACTCCGAAGGGGTGTTAAGGCGCGTGAGGTCAGTTAGAGAGGAAGCTACAGTACTATAGTTCTCTACAAACTGGCGGTAGTAGCCTGTCATCCCCAAATATGACCTCACCTCAGTCACAGATTGAGGTCTGGGCCAGTCACGTATGCTGGCCACTTTGGCATCATCCGGCGCCAACCACTCCGGAAAAATCTCATGACCCAGATACAAGATCTTGGTGCGACCAAATTCACATTTCTCCAAGTTAACCTTGTACTGGTGTTGTCGTAGGAGCCCTAGCACTGTTTTCACGTGCCCAGTGTGCTCCTCTATGATCCTACTAAAGATAAGGATATCGTCGAGGTACACGACGATAAACTTGTCTAAGTAGTCATGAAAGATCCAGTTCATTGGGTGTTGGAACGTCCCAGGAGCATTGCATAGGCCAAAGGGCATCACCACAAACTCGTACAAACCGTACCTCGTCTGAAAGACAGTTTTTTGCTGATCCTCAGGTCTAATAGCAATCTGATGGTATTCGGACTTCAAATCTATCTTTGTGAAGGACCGACATCCCTGCACTCTATCCACGAGGTCGTAGATGCGTGGTAGGGGCTCTGCGTTCTTAACAGTGATGGCATCGAGGCCCTTATAGTCAATGCACATCCTTAGTGTCCCCCCTTTCTTTGGGACAAATAGAACTGGCGCTTTGTAGGGGGACGTGCTTGGTCGAATCCAACCCTTCTCTATGAGCTCCTTGAGCTGGTGGCCGAGCTCATCTAACTCCACAAGAGACATCCGATAGACCGGCCCTCTAGATACCTTGCTACCAGGGGTGACTTCAATCGCACGGACAATCTCTCTTTCTACCACACCCCTAGGCTCCTCAAAGAGGTATGAATATTGTGCAACAGCTGCTTCTATCTCCGGGGATGATTTTACGACCTCCCCTTTCTAAGAGACAAATACTAAGCACATACCTTCCTCATGATTTTGCTTATAATAGCTATAGAAAGACAACGCGCACATGCAACCATAGTTTCCATTAGTCTGCTAGCCTTGAACTTCTGCTGGTTGATGGTCCTTCCATTTGGCAACTTGTGGATCATCACCTTCCTATCCCAATCGAACAGAGACTTAGCAACCTCGAGGTAGTACATGCCTAGCAACATGTCGAATGGCAGCTCGCCGCCCACTCGGAATGAGATCTTGTGTCTCAGTTCCCCTCCTCCATAGGAGAGGGTACAAAATACGTCCTTGACACAGTCTCTAACTACCTTGGAGTGCTTGTTGGCTAACGTAGATGCTACAAATATGCTAAGCCGTTGCACTTGGTTCCCTAAGCGCAGCCTATCTACACAAGCACGACTGATGAAATTCCGCGTAGACCTATGTCTGCAAAAGCGCCAACCTTTCGACCACCTATATCGACTTCTACCACAAAATGTTCACGCCCTGGAACTTTGTCCAACATCGCCTGGAGTCTCTAGGGTCTTTCTCTAACCACTCACTTTCTAATTCCTCTAAGGACTCAAACACAACTATCGAACAGAGCATTGATTGGTCTGGATCTGTATGCGGAGCGATCAAGGGGTCAATAGCCTTAGCCATCGTCTGAAATGGAGAAGGTAAAGTAACCACTTCAGCACGAGTAAGAGCGGCTAACACTCCCACTGGCCCGAGGTGTTTCCCCAGGAAGTCCTCGCAGAAGCACCACCAGAGTTGGAAGATCCAACAGTCACAATCGAGGACGCGACCTTCCCCGCGACCCGCTTACTCTTGCACTTGCTCATTGTGTGGCCATAGTAGCCACAATTGAGACAAACACCTCGCGTAGCACGATCTCGCCACACCTTGTAATCCAGACCAAGCTTCACCCATATGGGTGGTCCTTGGTCACTTTGACCCTTTGGCCGGCCTGCCTTTTGTTTCCCGGCCCCCTTAACCTTTTCACTAATGGGGGCGGCTAATCCACCATCTGAAGTTTCTCTAGTGCCATCTAACTATGTCTCTTCCCCAAGGTTAGATAAATTGCCAATCTCAATCGCTTGGCCATCATGGTCAACGAACATGAGATTGACCTTCTTCCTCCAATCCTGAGGAAGCTTCTTCTTCTTTCCATCTTCCCTGCTGGGCACTCCCAAGCTTAGCCTCTATGTCTAGGGCTTTCTTGCTGAACGAGGCGAAGTTATGCACATCCATGGAGGGTTCATCGACCAAGACATCGCAAATAATTTGTGAGGAGGACCTGTTGTTCGTACCACATGCCAGGAACAACAATCAGTCGCTCTACTACATTTGTCACCTCACGAACTATCCCGTATCTCTTCAATCCCAGACTGGCTAATGAGTCGGTGGCCTTTTGGGCCCCTTGAGGGTCATGCCACCTATTGTAGACCATTCGTACGAACTCCTCCAATGTTCGGGCCTGTGCCCAGCCATCAAAGTTCTAACCGTATCCTTGCTGTTGTACTACTACATTCAACCATTTGGCTGCAGATCCTTCTAGGAAGGATGTAGAGACAATAACTTCTTCCTCAGACCTTGTGAGATTGTGCCTTATGTACGTAGGCACAGTTCTCACCCAGGTATCAAGGTCATCTTCCTTCTTCTTGTCGCCAGAGAAGGGTTTAGGGCTCAACAAGGGTATCTTGGGTGTCCACTGCATGGACTGTACAGCATCCTGCGCCTTCTGCATCAGTTGGGAGACCAGAGGAACAGGCTGCTGCGGTGGTAACTGTTGCAAAGGTTGTTGTATGTGCGGCTGCCCTGTAGCAGCAGCGGCTGAATGTGGAAGTGAAGAAGGGACTGGAATCTGTCCGCAACTACCTGTTGTTAAACCATCTGGTGGGTTTAGGGGTGTGTGTGTGTGTGTGTGTGTGTGTGTGTGTGTGTGTGTGTGTGTGTGTGTGTGTGTGTGTGTGTGTGTGTGTGTG